CACGACAGTGAGAGGCCCACATACGGCAAAAAAAAAAAAAAAAACTAGAAAAAGAAGAACAAATTAAACCCAAAGAAAACATAAGAAGGATGAATCCTAATGATGCAAAGTGAAAGAAGCTAGTAAAAAACCCAGCACCTACATATGTATGTAAGATTCATTTATATTAAATTCTAGAAAATGCAGACTAGTCTATAGTGACTAAAAGCTTATTGGTGGTTGCCTGGAGTCCAAAGCAGTGGAGCAGAGAGGAACAGGAGGGAGGGATTTCGTTCAGGCTTGTGGAAACTTTTGGGCATGATGAATGTAGTCATTTTCTTGATTTGGGTAGTGGTTTCATGGTGGTCTACCTATGTCAGGAGTTATCAAAGCTTACATTTAAATATGTACAATTTATTATATGTCAGTTATATCTAGATAAAGCTGTTCAGAAAAATTTACCAGGTCATTCACGTTCATTCAGAGAGTAGAAAGATTACTGATAGCAGCTTATGAAGCTATTAAGAGGTAAAGCAAGTTGAGCTCATTACAAGGAGCTTTACTAAGGAGGGTATTTTATGGTTTAATGAGGTTACTGTGTGATTTTAAAAAGCCTGACCAATATTCAGGAATAGCAGTGATTCCTCAGTCATTCGTCACATCACCTTAAGACAACTTTCTTTTTCTTACAGACCTTTTGGCATATTTGCAGTGAAATATTACATAATATTTTGTGTTGTGTTTTTATTCAGTATAAACCTCTTCCTGTCATTCTACCTAATTAAAAATTAATGGCTGAACTTTTTATTTTGTTTCACTGTTTATTAAATTAGTCCCTTAATTTATGGGACTAATTTATTGTGTTATTAGTAAGTACTCTTGATTGTAGTGGAGTCCAGCAGAGTATTAAATTCTGAATTAGACTTTAAAAGTAACAGTTTCCAAGAAATAATATGATAGTAGAAAAGCATAAAGTTGTATTAATCTTGAGCTAGAAACCTCATCAGAAAATTACTTCATTTGTTAAAAAAAAACCCTTTATCAGTCATTGGTAAAATAGGAAACACTCTATCATCTTGGTTGGTTGGGATGTCTGAATTGAAACATAAATTATTATTTCATTTAAAATATAATGATAATAATTACAACAGTGCTTTTTAAGCTAAAGGCCAGGACTCTTGACTTAGTATATTTCTGTCTGGAGAGGACAGGTAGGAATCATATCCAAATGTTGGAGGATGATGTTGGTTTGAAGAACTCACTAAATAAAATGCACTTGGTTCTTTTGGTTGTGAAAGTTGCAGTGTAAATTTAAGTGTGTGAGAACCTAAAACTCTATTTTTATTGATAACTTCTCACAGAGTGAATGTCTGCTGTTTGACATAAACATTGATTTTTTTCCCCAAATGTACATTTAGAGCTGTTTAAGATATGAATGAAAATTAGGACTTAAAGTATGAATAGAGGGCTTCCCTGGTGGTACAGTGGTTAAGAATCCGCCTGCCAATGCAGGGGACACGGGTTCAAGCCCTGGTCTGGGAAGATCCCACATGCCACGGAGCAACTAAGCCCGTGCGCCACAACTACTGAGCCTGCGCTCTAGAGCTTGCGAGCCACAACTACTGAAGCCTGAACGCCTAGAGCCCGTGCTTCACAACAAGAGAAGCCGCCACAGTGAGAAGCCTGTGCACCGCAACGAAGAGTAGCCCCCACTCGCCGCAACTAGAGAAAGCCTGCGCACAGCAACAAAGAATCAACGCAGCCAAAAATAAACAAATAAAAATAAAGTATGAATAGAAATTAGAAATTATGAATAGAAATATAATTATGTATGTTAGAAAACCCACAAACTTAATATTATAGGAACATATTTAGAGAGTTATGATGGGATTATCTAAGTCACAGGGTGGGAGTAATAAAACTTTGGTGTTCTTTTTCACTATTCCTTTTCTCATTTATTGCATTCTCTTTCGTGTTGTTGAAGTTAGACAAATTTATATAACCCAAGTCCTTGACTCTTCTTTCTAGATATAACCTTTGCCTCCTAAAGCTAAAATAAATTGTTTATTTATTTTCTTTTTTTAAAAACTTAATTTATTTTTGGCTGTATTGGGTCTTCTTTGCTGCGCATGGGCCTTCTCTAGTTGCGGCGAGCAGGGGCTACTCTTGTGGTGTGCAGGCTTCTCGTTGCGGTGGCTTCTCTTGTAGCGGAGCACAGGCTCTAGGCTTGCAGGCTTCAGTAGTTGTGGCTCGTGGGCTCTAGAGCGCAGGCTCAGCAGTTGTGGCGCACGGGCTTAGTTGCTCTGTGGCGTGTGGGATCTTTCCGGACCAGGGCTCGAACCTGTGTCCCCTGCATTGGCAGGCAGATTCTTAACCACTGTGACAGCAGGGAAGTCCCAATTGTTTATTTTCTGATGAACAGAGATTTCATTTTAATGTGATACTGGTTTTAGTTACCAGTTTTGCCTTATCTATCTCTAAAAAAGTATTCTTTTTAACATGTAAAAGGTGTGTGCCTATGGTATTTTGTTGCTTTATAAAACCCTTATATATGCTACAAAGCAGTTCTATTAAAGTGGTTTAAAGAATGCATCTTTTTATTATAGTTCTTATTTTAACTAATTTTATCATGAGAAAGTATTCTCATTATTATAATTTCTCATTATTTAAGTATTTTTAATAGTTCTCTAATCTGGTTAGAGGAATTTATATTAACTGTTAATAATAGTAGCGCTACTCACTTATTCCTCGATTTTGTTTTTTGTGTTATACCTACTATGTAATTCTTTTTTCTGCCATTTAAATTCTTTAACCTTTTCTCTCATCTCAAATAAACTCATCTGAAATAAAACAAACTGTCTAACCACCCAGTCAAGGGAAATGCCTTGCCATCTTGAATCAGGAAAAAAAATGGAGGGAGGGGTTTAGGCCCTTCTTTTCACTTCTTAATTAAAATTCATTGCTGGTAGGTTTTTTGGATCTGTGGTTGTTGAATCCCTAAAAGTTGCAGTTTAGTGTATATATTTTCATAGTTAATTTTAATAACTTCTATCATAATAAATTTGAAGGACCTTTATAATTTGTTATAATGGCATTTTGTATATAATTTATTTGGGGGAGGTAGAATAGATTTTCCCCTCCTTTTTTTCTCCTTTATAGAATTCCTTACAAATAGTCTTTCAGATTAATTTAAAATAGATTTGATTTAGAGAAACTCAGCTTTGAAATCAAAAGTCTCTTATTCAAGGTAATGTAAAGTATAAATGAAATGGAAACTGGGTGATACTTGTTTCTCGGGATTAGATTAGATTAATTTCTTTGTCTAAATTTGCTGTCTCTTAGTAATCTTATAATCCTGAAGTCTCCATCTCTCCTAGGCATTTTGAACTTTTACCAAGTTATCTGATTGATTTTATCTTGACTTTCATCTTCTACAACAGATTCAGCATTAACTAGTACACACTGATTTAGCTCTGAAGTGATCCTCTTGGTAACCATTTGTTCTTTTATAACTAGGGATTACTACGTCAATAAAATGCGTTGGCTTATTTTCTACTCCAGAAATTAAGGAATTGGCCATACTTTTAAAGAAGACGCCAGTGTTTTAAATTTGGAAGGTTTTAAAATAGACACATAAGTGACAGAAGAGGACTTTTTTTTTTCCCACTTTGGAAAATATGTTTTGGTTCAGGCCTGATTCTTTTTTTTCTTCAGAATTTTATGTATTAGATATGGCAGTAAAAGAGGTTCTCTGTACATCTAGTATATTGTAGTTAAGCACAGGTTAACATTTTTTCTATATTTTATTACTTTGCATTTAATTTTAGCTGGAACGTAACTAGTAAAATATCATTTGTTTTAGAGTTTAAAATGAGGTTAGCCTGTTGACTTGCTATTCTCCAAATTTAATATTTTGAACTCTAACCTAGCAGTGTAAAATGTCATTCATATCAGGTAGGGAAGATGTTCTTGGATTGTACAGTAATTAGTCCATCTTTTTATTTTATGCCTTCTATGGAAATACTTTTCCATTTTAATGATCAGTTCTAAAATACTTCAAGTGATTAAATTTTTTGCATCATGATTCAGTGTATTTTAAACTTAGCTTATATGTATACAGAAAATGTGGGCTGAAGTATGAACATACTAAATTATCTCTTTGGTCGACCCTTTTAGAAGTTGAATTCAAATATCAATGTGTTGAATCTTCATTATACTTAAGCATGTAGGTCACAATGTCAGAAAAATATTTAGGATATTCATTTTTTCCACATGGACAAAATATAGACCATTTGTGAAATTGAACTGCAAGTCCTATTACGTGCTAGTCATTCTTAAAGGCAAAGGTACCATGCCACTTGATTAGATAAAAGGTGGCATTGTACAACTGGGAGGAAATTTTTTTCATGCAATCTCATAGTAAAATGTTTTTTAATATAACAGGTTACATGAATACTTAGCAGACATTGGAGCCTCTATTATGTTTTTCTTATATCTTGAGTCCTCTCGTGTGTTTGCCTTGTTTTTAAGTGCTTTTCTTGTCTTTACTGTTATTTAAATACGTGGTACTATATTATTGGGGGAATGTCTTAAGTGCTTATAAAGAAGGAAGTGATTAATTTTGGAATAAAGGCAGTTTTGACCTTTATCCTGGTAGAAGTGGTTTAAAGACATTAAATTTGAAACTCGTTGGCTCAGTTTTGAGGCAGTTTCAACCTCCTAGTTCTCTAAAATGTGTTAGGATAGTTTGGTAATGATGTATATTTGACAATAAAGGCAAATTTTCATGTTCTGAAGTTAAATTCTGCAAATGAAATGATTAAAACCCTCAAAATTGATGAAAATTTTTCTTCAAGAAATTTAATTACCCCACCCCAACATATGAAAACTAAAAAACACTGTAAATCCTTTCAATAAAATACTGTACTCAGTAAATAGAGCACTGTGGCATAATGCCTAGTAGATTCAGTGTCTTTTGGGGCTTAAAATGTGTTAACTTACTATATTTGATTTTTAAATAGACACCAAATCCTACTGCAAGCGAGTTTATTCCCAAAGGAGGATCAACCTCCAGGCTCAGTAACGCGTCCCAGGCACATGCGTCTGCCTTCTCTCAAGTGTTCTCTCACCCATCCATGGGGACTCCTGCTGCTGCTGCTGGATTAGCCCCAGGTAAGTTGAGTAACTGTTTCCAGTGAGTTCCAGATAGCAAGTCTCTAAGCACATTTGCTGGTAGTTTACCAGACCTGAAATTGTATTCTTCAGTGAGTCATATTTGAACACATTATGAGTTTTATGTTCTAGGTTTTGGTACCATAGTCCAGATGTGTAGTTGAAAATTTTAAAGCAAAATTTAAATATGAACAAAAATTAAACACAAGGGTGTTTAAAAGCACAAAAATAAATTTAAAGGAGAAAATGGTTATTGAGAAAAGAAGTCTCTCTGGGCCGTAGTATTTCCTTATCTTTTAAAGTTCATGATAAAGAGCGTCAAGGGCCTCCTTTTGAAATAAATTTCTAAAAAATAATTTATATCATTTAAAATAAAAGCTTAGATGTATTGCCTTTCAGGTGTGTGATTATAAATCTGTAGCAGTAATTCAAATTGGGTAAAGTATTATAAACAATGGTAGGAAAGGAATGTGAAATATTAGGGGTCATTGAGGTAGGGAAGACAGTACATCTCAACACTTTCTTCCAAGTTTACCCAAAATGGCAGAAGAAGAATTTGAAGAAATGCACTTACACCTCAGGGATCCTGAGGCATAGTTCAGAGTAACCCTTTGAGAACCCTGTCTTCTTAGAAGTTCCCCTCTTTTATCTAAAAATTCATGCAGATTTTGTATTCTGCTTTCTAACATAAACACATATCAAAATATGAAAGTTTTCTTGGATAATTAACATCACCCATTCCTACTGCTGTGTACCTTAATTAGACAAGTAATGTATGCAGAATTATGTTGAATTCCTAATAAGTGCTGAGCAGGTTGTCTTGTGTCTGTGAAATGGTTGCACTACCCACCCAGATTATGTTTCTGGAACCTGTTCTGGAAAATCATCACTTGGTCCTGAATGTTTAAAAAAACAGAAACAAAAGGAAATTTATATACATTAAATGAAGCCAAAAGATCTATCTAGATCAGCCTGGAACTAGTACTGCCTCCAGGGCTTAATCTAATCAGTAATGGTGATAAATCATTGGTTTTGATATTGATATTGAAATCAAGGACCTTTTTGGGAAGAAGAATGAGAGAAGATAATGATAACTTTATGGAACAGAGCATCCGGTTTAGTGTATAAAGTATCAAGTGTATTCAGAGGCTTAATAACCTTGTGTTGCCAAGGATTTTATCAATGCCTACTTCCCCTCACCTCTCCCTCCTCCCCTTCTCTCCCTCCCTCTCTCCCTCTCTCCATCTCAGTCTCCCTCCCTCCCTTCCCGCTCATCTCCCACTCATGCTCCCCCACCCCAGTGAGCAGTTGATCATTTTATTAACTAAACATAACCAAGAATTACATACCTTTCTGGTGAAACTTTTAAGATAATTTTGTGTGGAGGGCCTTGAGATATACCTTGCAACTCCTTCCCCCTTACTTGTCCCTTTACCTTTTTTTCTACTTTGGCTCTTTTCAGGTTCAGTTAAATTTTTCCATTCTTCCCTAGAGAGCAGTGTCAGAATTGAATATCCCTGGTAGCCTTAAAGTTTTACTTGTAAGTAATATGCTACTATGATTTTCTCCCATTGAGGTGTGTTCACATTGTTTACATGAGCATAATCTACATGTCAGCTGTACATCTGAACTTTCTTAGGGATTGTCCAGACTTCAGAGCAGTGTTTATAAAGCACCCACAGTAACGAAACCCATACGCCAGTCAGAACCCTTTGGCTTTCTTAATTAAGCACCAGTTAATTTTGGCCTAACAGCACATTTTCCCTTGTCTCATAAGTGAATATTTTGTTCACATCTTTGATCAGACTATTTCAGGCTAAAAGATGGGCTTTTTAAATACTGGAGGAGTTAAAAATGTCAAAGGGAATTTTAGATATTGAAAACATTTAATTAGAAAATCCGTTAATGCTGTGGTATTTGTTTAAGGTTTCCAGTTGTTATTAACTTGTGTGTAGGTAGGTGTTTCATGGGTCCCAATTGGATTTCACAACCTAAATTTAGGATGAAATGAATTAATTTAAAACTATTTACTCTTCTTCTGCATAGCCCTAACATTAAAGTGGTCATTCTGCTTCCTATTAATGAAAGTAATTACTGTCTGGAACCATTGGAAATAGGTCAGTGTATTATATTAAATGTATTCCTGAATTCTTTATACCAACTATTTAAAAACTGTTCTTTATTCAAATGGCAATCAACGAGGCTAAAATATTTTCCAAAAATACTGGAGAGATTAATGGTTTTGCATTTATTATTTCTCCATATTTTCTCCTTTTAGTTAATGGCATAACACTGTGTGGAGATGAGCAAAGGAAAACAAAATTAAGTCTGTACTTTCAGAAAAACATTTTATCCCTTCAGTGTCTTCCATTACTTCTTACCCATAGGAGAGGTTCTTGGTATTTTCACTTTAAGACTGTAGAATAAGAAAGGTCATAGAAGTTTATTTACCGGCCTTAGTGGTGATTTAACTGATCTTTAATCCTCCTTGTCTACTATAGGTGTAACCTAGTGATAATTTTCAGTTAATAAAGTTTCATTTTCTCTTTTTTTCAACTTCTATTCCAGAAATTAGTACCCTTGAAATTGTCAAATTGTTGTTTTCCTAAAAAATATGAAACCTTACATATTTTGGCACTCAGATGTAAACTAGAGTAATGTCATTTTCATTATATGTGAAAAAATACATATTTAAATATATCCTTCGACCAAAAATGTAAAAGTATTTGAGCAAAGTTGAGTAGATGTTAAGATTTTGTATTTCCTCAGATCGTAAGGAAGAAAAATGTAATGCGTGGAACAGAGTGGATCCTGAGTGAATCAGGTTCCTCTAAAACTTGATCACTTTAAAAACATGATTTGTATTTTTAAAAAGTTGTAATGCAAGAAGTAAAACTTTATACAAAAATTATTTGAATTTAAATAGCTAATTGGGTTTAAAAGGTATTTAAAAGTGTTAAATATATGCAGCACATGTTAAGTTTCCATTGACTTGTATATACATTTTATTTTAATTTAAGAAATGAAGGAGATATAGGTTTCGTTGTTTTCCGCACATTTAACCGGAGAACAATACCTGTATTTCTAAGTGTCTTCTACGAAGGTAGTTATAAGAGTTAGTATTTGGGGTATGGCACTTAACTTGGGCTTAATTGTCTTTGAGAACCCCTACAATTATATGCATATTTTAAATTTGTAAATACGCATTTTTCTCTGGTCACAGCTTTTATTATCCTCTTGGAGGGCCACAGCCTTCCAAAAGTTAAGAATCACTGGTTTAACACACCCTTAGCAAAATTTTATTTCCTGAGTGTGATACAGTAACAATACCTTCAAAGTAATATATAAAGATATATTTTTCTAATAGGTCTAGCTTTAGGCAAACATTTTTGGAATAGCCTTTAGAAATGAAAATATGACTATACTAAGTATGTGAAAAGACAGCTTATACTTTAATTTTTTGTGCCATGAAAAATAATTTTATCATGAGAACTAATTGCTGAATGGTTTGCTATCAGAATTTTTCCTGAGAGTATTTTGATGTGGTAGTAGACTTGGTAAGCTAAGTCTTGGTGTACTTTAAGTTTAATTACCTCAGTCTTGGCCATAGTCTGTTTGAAGGTGATTCTAAGAGCGGTAGCAACAGGAGCGTACATTTCTGGGTAGTGTTCTAATACGTCATCTGGTGGTTTAAGGCACAGTTGTGACTCAGGAATTGAGCATCTCTTGTTCTGCTTGATTGTGTGTGTACACTTGGGAGAGGTAGAGGGGAGTTCTTGAATTTGAAGATCCCATTATTGATTTATAAATGAGAAAGAGAGCCAAAAGTGACTTTTTAGTATTTTCAAATATTCATTCCTTCAAGATGAGAATGGTGCAGATTTTTGGACCATTAGTATATTTTATTGTAAATTATTATGGTAATCTCAGATGATTGATTTGATGAGAAGCATCTAATAATTATACTAAACCTATCATTATTAAATAATTGTATTCCTTCATTAAAATTTAATCATAATATTTTAGAAAAATTTTAAAGTATATTTTTAGATTCAGTTTTTTGTTGTTGTTGTTGTTTTTTGCAGTACGCGGGCCTCTCACTGTTGTGGCCTCTCCTGTTGCGGAGCACAGGCTCCGGACGCGCAGGCTCAGCGGCCATGGCTCACGGGCCCAGCCGCTCCACGGCATGTGGGATCTTCCCGGACCGGGGCACGAACCCGTGTCCCCCACATCAGCAGGCGGACTCTCAACCACTGCGCCACCAGGGAAGCCCAGATCCAGTTTTCTGAAACACTTAATCGTTTCTTATATATTCCTGCGAGTGCCAAATTGATAGATAAAATTGGCTTACATTCTTTATTTTTTGGCTTGGGCAAGGTATGGGGAAGAAGAGGAAGGGAAAAGGAAAGGGAAAATTAATATTCACCCATCATTCCTGTTGAAAAATATTGAACTTTTAATATATATAATGTACTATTTAAAAATATTCTCATACTTCTAATGTTGAAAGGTGATCTTTTTTTTTAAACTTCTGTGCTAAAGAATAAAGTTCTCTGATTCTATGATGTTTTATATCATAATGAAGAAATGGAGGCTTCATTCATTTCAGTTGAATACTAGTTGGCCGATGTGGTAATCTGACACTGGTCATTGGTCTAGGTGGAACCCTTGGGGTTTCCATGGTTCAGCCCTGTGCCAGTTTAGAGGTGGCATTCCTGAGAGATTATCATCTAGCTTCTGCTTTTTCACTTATAGTAATAAAGAATTAAGTAGCTAACCAAGGCATCCCAGTGTACATTTTAATAGTTTGAATAAAAAAGAAAATTAGATCTTTTGTTGAACTAAACTCTGTCTTGTGTATCTTTTATCCATTAGTCCTAGGTCTTTTCCTTGAATAGAATAAATTAAAATCTTTCCTACATGATAGCCCTTTCAGTTGTTTTTTTAGACTAGTTGTATATATGTGTGTGTCCATATAACTGATCTGTTTTTGACACAAA